ACACACACACACACACACACACACACACACACACAAAGTAAAGTAAAGTGTGAGCGGCATCACATCACAATCAGAACCCGGCACGTGAAACCACAGCCTCCTTCACCTCTGCGTTTCTTGGCTCCAGATGTTTTGCACGTCACAGCCGCGCAGCTGTTGCACAGTTTAAACTTCACATCGTGTGACACAGGTCATCGAACACACGACCGATCGCCTGTGAGTCGCTCTGTGCTGTGCCACCGTGCCGCCGCGTCCATTAATGTTGAGACTGTGAGGAAGTGGAAGAGTCGGTCAGCTGATCGCTCCGTGCTTCCGCCGGGAAGGGAGGGCTCCATTTAAACACTATGGCAACTGAAGAGGGCGGCGCTTAGGCGGTTCCTCGTGTCTCAAGTGAACATCCCGCCTGCTTCGGTTGTTTCTTGTCTCAAAACAATTGCTCTGAGTTGTGTCACGATTAGAACACAGGCTCGGGTTCTTGTGTTCAGGCTCTGTCTCCTCCATCGCGTCCCTTTTCAGCATCTTTCACTTATCACAAGGCGACAACATGTGATGATATTCAGGGTAAACTTCAACTAAATTCAATAAAATACACAAAAAGCACAGAAAACACTCAAATAATCACTGCACAGGGGAAAGTTAATATGCTTGTAAATCGCAGAATACAAAAGATGGAGAGTGAGACTTCAAATTAGACACGAGGAAACGATTAAAGTGTGTTCTAATGAACGAGTCACCTGCAACACATTATGCTGTTTGTAATCCAGAGCACTAAAGATAATTCACATGAAATTTGTGAAATTATTCAGAGACTTTGTGGCTCCGGGCTGAGGATAACAGAAGACATTTAGAGTGGAATGTTTAAATTCAGTACAGTACATCTTCAGGTTTAGCTTGAGCTGGCGAGTTGGACCGTGCAGCTTTCATATAACCTTTCAGCCTCAGTTGATTTGCTTGATCTATGTTTTGCATTTATGACGGAGCTCAGATGAAGCACTACAGCGTCAGTGGAGAAACCAGACCCAGGTTGAGACTGTTTGCGATGATCTCACTGACTGAATCATACATAATCCTTCCCACGACTGTGATCACTGCTGACAGACACAACTAATTACTGTTGTTGATTTTGAGGAAAAGTGTCCTGAAAAAACAGTGAAAACCAGTAACCTTGGATCTAGTCGTGCATTTATCCTATTGCTTCTAATTTGTCATTTGTTTGTGTCACATTGTCTGACCTGCAGCGTTTGTTGTTTTGTTCAAGGTAAAAAGTCTCTGAGTGGTTTTGCTGTTGTATATTTACGTATAAAGAAGAATCGATCCCCTTTTTACTTCAAGTGTATTAGATTTGGCTGCAGCACTGTTTGACCCTGAAACTATCTATAAGAGTTTTGTGGACTCAAACACATTAACCCCACCCCTCCATCGGCATAGTGGTGAGTAGCTCATGATGGGATTTTCATTTTCAGGTGAACTATCCCTTTAAGCGGTCCAAGCTCGTACAGTGCAGTATTACCGTAACTACAGCGCGCAGGAGCTTTGACACTGGGTGTGTTCAGCTGCGCCTCGCCGCGGTCATTACGGTGACGATCCCATTCTCCCGTCTCCCCTGCGGTCGCAGTGGAAACCGGAGCCAGTCCGCCTCCTGCCCGGGAATCCACAGCACATCAGCGGCCACTGCCATGGCTGAACGCCGCGCCTTCGCCCAAAAAATCAGCAGGTAAAAAGACCCGAGGCCCCGGAGCGAGCTCGTAAAACACACACCCTCTCCTCGCGTCGGGTCGCCCCTCTCGGGACCACCGGGGAGGGAGCCCGGAGAAGGGAGGCCCGGCCGCCGCTAGCGCAGCCTGCCCGGCCGCTCCGAGCTAGCCGCCTGTTAGCCGCAGCGGCGGAGATGCTCAGACCCTCCCAGACAGAACAAAAACACTGGATACCAACAGAGGGACGGGATGTGGTGCAGTTATAATCACTCATCCTGCTCACGGAGGCTCCAGCTTTTTAAATTACCACCCGCACACAAAGGCTCGTTCTCCACATTGTGAACCGTTATTTTCCAACAGCTAGTCGGCTATCACGTCGCTAGCGACGGGGGCAGCTAGATGCTAGTGGCGGTGACTGAACTTTGTGGAGTTGGATGTTTTTCTTTTTGTTCACAGCGGCGAGGACGTGTCTGAAATACACGGGGTCCGAAAACAAAAGCCTCCATCAGCCGCTGTCAAACATCGATATTATGAAATCATCCCCGCCCCTCAGACAGATTAAAGTAATCTGTTTAACAAAGGGCTTTGTGCTGGCTGTCAGATACCATCACCCAGCTGATAGAGAGAGAGAGATGGATGGATGATAGATAGATGGATAGATAAAGAGATGGATGGATAGATAGATGCTGTTACAGATGAACTGTTGTTTCCCACCATCACTGCATATGTGTGTTTAAACCATTCTCCCTGCTGATCACTTAAATCACAGTCATCCAGTCTCTCCAGTAGCTATTTACCAAAAACAATGATATTTACTTCCTTGTTGTTTGGTGGAAGATGGTTGAAATTAGATGTTGTAGTGTTCTGGAGAGGATGGTGAGATGTTTGTGGGAAAGACGGACGCCTGCAGCAACTTGTTCCACATGACAACTTGATTATTTCATTGGTTTTCCTTGTTCGGTCCAGGATTGTTGATCTAGTTGAGCCCAAGTTTCTTTAGCTGCAGGTTACAAGTTCAACAGGGTGATCAGGAGTCAGAGTTTGGATTTTGAAGTTTTTGCCTCTACATAGACACAATTAGATTATTACAAAAGCCTTGCCCATCTACTATGTTAATTATTTGTCCTATTTCATTCTGGTAATCTGTTGTAGCCCTGTAAGACGCTCATCAAGGTGATTAGGAGTCAGTATTTGAATTTTAAAGTCTTTGCTGCTACACGAAAAAAATGTTTTTATTAAAAAGGCACTGCACATCTATTTACAACTTTCCTCTTCCATTCTAGGATTTCTAATCTGGTTGAACCCAGTTTCTTTAACTTTAGGTTAACTGCTCATGGAGAACATCAGGAATTTATAGAATAACATTTTCTTTGTTGGCTTTAAGATTGGATGAGTATGCAGCGCTAGTGTCGTGTGAATCCAGCTCCCCGTAAATCTCATTCCACATTTAGCTATTGGAATTTAACATGATTCATATTGACATGCCCTCCTCATTGCAGATCATTTAGAAAGGATGATTCATGGGTGATCACTGGAGTCAACGTATAAACCGACAGATGGCACAATGACACCACACATATCTTAAAATAAAACGCCACTTTTTTTTACCACAAACTCAAGATTTACCTTAAGATGAGACAGTAACTTTCTAAAATAGCCTGAGAAAGAAAAAGAAAACTTAAACTTAACTTGGCTTAAACTTAGTAGGGCACATTTATTGCTGACTTTTGCATGAGATTTGGTGAAACGCTGTTTTGGTCAAAGTTTAGGTTGCTGATGTTAATTCAGCTGCAAATAAACACCTTAATTCTAAATGCTCAGATGTTCCTTTAATAGAAGTTTTATGTTTTGTTCCTGGGAGTTGTTGTTCTCACCATGTTGAAGTGATTACCATCAGAGCTGTGTGTTTATTGAAGTTATTCCCATGTGCATTGACCAGTGCTAAGTTAAGATCTGTTAAGAGGCATCGGGGAGGACTGTGGTCAGATCAGTGCTTCTGCCTTTCTCCAGCAGTGACAGCACTGCACTGCAGACTCCACTGGATCTATCCTACAGTACATCTTCAAGTTCAGCTTGAGCTGGCAAGTTGGACCATGCAGCTTTCATATAACCTTTCAGCCTCAGTTGATTTGCTTGATCTATGTTTTGCATTTATGACGGAGCTCAGATGAACCACTATAGCGACAGTGGAGAAACCAGACCCAGGTTGAGACTGTTTGCGATGATCTCACTGACTGAATCATACATAATCCTTCCCACGGCTGTGATCACTGCTGACAGACACAACTAATTACTGTTGTTGATTTTGAGGAAAAGTGTCCTGAAAAAACATCGTGAAAACCAGTAACCTTGGATCTAGTTGTGCATTTATCCTATTGCTTCTAATTTGTCATTTGTTTGTGTCACATTGTCCGACCTGCAGCGTTTGTTGTTTTGTTCAAGGTAAAAAGTCTCTGAGTGGTTTTGGTGCTTACTGTGATTTAAAGGACCTGCGCACGTGTGTAGCTACGGCAGCAGTTGAACACCAAGAGCTTTGTGCTGACCACCAGGGTCCAGGGGTTTTTATTAGTTTCTTTTTTCTCTGTCTGGGTGTAATATATGATTCTGTCCGAAGCAACGCTTGAACATTATGAGCAGAGACACAAAGAAAATCATAAAAAGGACAAGAAGTGTAATTCTCACTGGAAGTTAGCTGCGTCTTTAACAGCTCAGGGTATTTAAGTATAAATCTGCAAAATCCATAAGTATGAGCGAGTGTTTGTAATATTTCAATTCTTATAAGTTCAACAGGTATAAGTATAACTTTGATTTTGCACTACAATGTTAGCTGCTGTTACATTTTATTGCTCTTTTATTTTCAAAGCTAAATGGATTCAGGGTTAAATGCTTTAATTAAACTAAAGGGTGAAATTTACTTTGAAGCTTTTCATTTAGTTTCAAGTTCTCATCCATTACCTGCCAGATTACAAAACTGGTCATAGAAATAATCTGTATTGCAAAACTTTATTATAAACTCCCACCCATATCTTAAATAGCAATTTTTCTGATACTTACACAGATGCATTTTCTTACTTGTGCTGTTAACATGTTAGGTCTGAACTGCTCTGAGCTCAGTAGTGCCATACATGACTGCCAAATCACTGGGTTTCCTTTCACATTTGTGGGCAAAATATTGTGATATCACTTTGTTGTTTTTTCCCCTGAGATTTACACTCTTAATTACAATAAAGCCAGCCAGCCCTTCTCAGTGGATCATTTATTATTTAGACTGTTAATATTGACTGTATTAATTGACTGTATGTCTCCACTATTTGCAGGACTGTGGCAGCAGAGGTCAGGAAGCAGATCGCTGGCCAGTATGGAGGCTCCCCACAACTCTTCAAAAACCTCAATGTTGGGACCACAACAAGCAACACAGTGAGTAGCCGACCATAGAGATCAGCTCATGAATTAACTGGTTGTGTTTGTAACACTTGTTTCCATTTATTCGAATTAAACGTGCTGTCTGTTTAGGAAAACAAACATTACGCAAGAACTGATCCTGTCTTTTGACATATAGAAACTGAAAGTCATGTTATTTATAAAACAAGACTGTCCTTTGCAATATGATTTGGGGTTTTCAGCCTCGCCCACTGCTGTTGCTAAGTGTGGAACTGTGGACTGTAGTTTTTATTTGAAATGAAACATTTATCAGATTTATAAAGACATAAATCGTCAAATTGATAAATGACTTTGTTGCTTTAAATGCAATTAAATCAAGTACATTAACAAAAGTAATACTTGACATTAGTGCACAACAATAATAAAATAATAAGACAAAGGTGTTGTTTTCTGTTGAGATTGTGGTTATTTAAATGTCTGCACAACATGTGTTTAAATACCATGTGAGATAAACATTAACCACGTCCAGTCTCTAGTGTGTTTCTAGAGTGTTTGAGTTCAGACACTGTTTGTTAAAGGGGGAATGACAATTGACCAGCAAATACTCCCCCCTCTCCCCCCTCCTAATTAGGCTACAGTTGTCCTTTAATTAAACTGTGAAAGGTATTTGTGTTCAAATTCCTCATGAGGGCGAGAGAGTTAGGAAGAGGGACAAACAAACTGAGACTTAAACTAAAGCTCTTGAATAAAGATTTCTCCTGGGTCCATCATTTTAGAAGCAAAGAAGCATTAAACTATTAGTCTGTGCTTGAAGTAGCACACTTGCTAATCTGCTTAATACTTGTGTCCTCTTGGGGTTATTTAAAAGCACTTTTACAAAGTCACAGATGTGTCTTCTCCAAAATGTATTTAGCTGTTTAGACGTTAAGATGATCCAATAGCTGCAACTGCTCTCTCGACATAAATAACATAAACAACTCCTGTTCTTTTCATAGAGTGAGTTGCCACTTTTCTCTAAAGTTAAACAGTAAAGCTACAGACGTACAGACATTAATCCAGCCTGTTTTCTACTGGTCAAAAAACAGTTTTTTCTCTGCAATTCGAATGGATACAATTGGCATTCACTCCCAGGTCAAATGACTCTGCAGTAGACACAGGTTTTTATTGCTCCGCGGCTTTGATTGGCAGTGTTGGAAGCATGACACCCAGCTGAGCGCGCTAATTTACTTTACTTCATAACTTTATGTGACAGGGACAGTGCATATTAATAACATTTCTGGAAATATGCCAGATGAGGCCACACAGGCAAATCTTCACGTGGAGTCCCTGGGGAGGCAGACAGTGCAGACATTGAGAATAAAAACAAGAGCAACAGCTCTTAAAATACACAGGAGAAATGATAAAAGACAACAATTAACACAAAGGAAGACAAGACAATATTGACCTAAGGCCTGGCAAGGTGTGAACACTTTGAACTGAGACGCTCACAAGCATAGCAGCTGCCCGTCTGAAGACCGACATGCAAGACAAGAGATAACACAAATACCATACCGTGTACACAGTTTTCTAATTAACCAGGCTCTTAATGTGGAGGAGAAGGTTGGTAGATGGGAATTTCTTCTTCTTTATTTTGGTAGTCTCAACGCTGAAGCTGCACCTTTTCTGGCACGACGTTGTGATGCACATAGAAACTCTAAGTAATCCAAAATTGTTCAGGCACTGATGAGTTTGAAAGAGGGACCGAAGTAAATAATAAAACGCAGCAGATTTTTCACAGCTAATTGACTTTGCCCGTTCCTCTGATTTCTCCCTCAGGTTCCCCTCACAGAGGCGGTGGAGCCGGTGGATTTTGAGGAGTACCTCATCACTCACCCGCCCATCGTGGAGTCGGGCCCTCTGAGAGATCTGATCGAGTTTCCCCCTGATGACATTGAGGTCATCTACACGCCCAGGGAGTGTCGCACAGTGGTGCAAGCTGTTCCTGAGGAAGGGTAAGAGTGCTCGATGGTTGAAAGAGGTTCTAGTAGAAGGTGTGGTGTTAAAGTAGAGTTATAGTCACTGATTTTTTTTCTCATGTGCAAGCATTTTGTGTACTGAGAGAATCTATCAAATGTTTATAGAGCACATAATTTATATTATTGGGATAATAAAGGGATTAAAAAGGTTTGAGAACATAAATATATTTAATCTACACATCCTTTTATATGTTATATGTTTGATAAATGTTACTAAATTATAATCCTTTGGAGATTCTTTTAATCCCTTTTATGACAGAGCCCAAATAAATAGTAAATGTCTTCAAAAATCAACAGTATTTTTCTCAATTTTATTTTTTTAAAGCATTTTCAGCATGAAAAATGTTGGCAAGTTCTGTTTTGTAATTTTGATTTATGACTTAGTTCCACATTTCATTTATATTTTCAAACCTAGTCATCATTTATTAAATGGAAAAATGTTATCTCTTGCCAAGCCACTTTCTTTAAGCATTATTGCACGTGGTCATGAACCTCTGCTAATTCCATCTTTTGTTTTTAATCATTGCAAAAGCTGCACCAAACACTTAGAGATGAAAAACATGCCAGCTAGATGTCTTTACCTGCTGTAGCTCTGGGTTTTAGTTTTTCAGAAGAGATGGCAGCAATATGGCAGATTGCTGATGTACCAGAAAGATAATATGACATCAGCCTGTCAACTTTACTGTCTTAAACTAATGCATTTAAAGTCTGTATCTTGGTATTAAAATAAACCTAGTTTGACTGGTGGTGTCTGCAGGGACACTGATGCTCACGTCAGAGACTGTGTCAGATCTTACACAGAAGACTGGGCCATCGTCAACAGAAAGTAAGGCTTCATTTTGTGATAATATTTATATTTGAAATTTTTTAAAGACGTAAAATTATCCACTGTGTCTTAAATGGCTGTTTGCTCCTTCAGATATCACAAACTTGGTACGGGTTTTAACCCCAACACTCTGGACAAGCAGAAGGAGCGTCAGAAAGGCCTCCCCAAGCAAGTGTTTGAGGCTGATGAGATGCCAGACAGCAGCAGCTACCAGGATGACCAGGTACAAAAATCACTCTGTAGTAAAAAATTACATAACTGCTGGTGTGTTGAAGATGGCTTGAAGGCCACAAGCTGCTGAAGCCTGAGACATATTTACGTCTTGGTTGTTCTGTAGGATGACTTGAAGCGGCGGTCGATGTCTATAGACGACACACCACGCGGCAGCTGGGCCTGCAGCATCTTTGACTTGAAGAACTCCCTCCCCGATGCCCTCCTTCCTCACCTGCTCGACCGTGCTCCCAACGACGAGATCGACAGGCACAACGAAGAGCATCGCAAGGCTAACCGCCACCGCGAACTCTTCGCTCTGCACCCTGCCCTCGATGAGGTGACACATACCTCTACATTTACTTTTAAATTTAGTTAGTTACATTTAGTTTTGTGATTTTGTGGGTTGCCATCGTTTACGGGTTTAAGACCAGTGCATGAATTAAATTCTAAGTGTTGTACATCACAGCATGAACATACAAAAATTCAAAATCGACAATTTCTACTGTTTTTAATGTATTTTAATGTGTAGGAAGAGCCCATTGAGCGCCACTGTGTGCCTGAAGTACCTAAAGAACACTTTGGCCAGAGGCTACTTGTCAAGTGCTTGTCCTTGAAGTAAGTGGTGGACAGCCTTTTTCAGGAAAAAAAAAACCTTTTAGCTCTTTTATTTAATGCTACTTTCTGCTGACCCTCTGCTTTTTCTCTTCCCTTGAAGGTTCGAGATCGAAATTGAACCCATATTTGCTAGTTTGGCCTTATACGATGTCAAGGAAAAGAAAAAGGTAAGCTGTTATGTTTTCCTCAGTGCTTCCCTCAGCCCTGAGTTGTTGGGTCACTTCTGCAAACCATTAAAAATGTTGGGAGGCCAAAACGAATTTGATGAGTGGACTATAAAATTTTATGTTGTGGCCCTGTTATGCTTGCGGGCACGCAATTAAATCACACACTGGAACTATGTGTCTATCTGAAGAAGTTCACCTTCTTCTTTCTGCTCCCCTTTAGCTGACAGACACTAGAGGGTAGCACTTGCCTTGATAAGTGAATCACTCATATATTTTGCTCTGCACCTGAGGTGTATTATTTCACAAGTGGGTAATTTGTCACTGAAATGTTATTATGTTTGTCAGACACCAAGAGCAAGAAATCAGGTTGCAGTGATACAGCCATTCATTCCAAAAAGTACACAGTAATTGTATATCAGATACCAGAAGCTGTCATGTTGTGGCTGCGTTTAACATACCTGTCATAAAAATATCATAATTAACTTTTTGTGTGTGTCCCTCAGATATCGGAGAACTTTTTCTTTGACCTGAACTCTGAGCAGACGAAGGGGCTGCTGCGTCCACACATTCAGACAGCGGCCATCTCTACACTGGCACGCTCGGCCATATTTTCCATTACCTATCCCTCCCAGGATGTTTTCCTCGTCATCAAGGTCAGACAATTATGACATTTTTCTTAATCAAATCTTGTTTTGCACAAAAATTGGTGTCAATATTGCATTGACCCAAATGTAAGATTACATCCAATTTTTCAACACCTGAAAAAAATACTTCTTAAAGATATAAAACACTTTCCTCAACAAAGTTTTAGTCCAACAAAGATCCTTGAATCCATTTCTCTCATAAAAGTGACACATAAAATTCTTCTTTACCACTGTTCCCCTTTTCTCTCGAAAAGAATATCTGATGTTGTAAATAGTCTTCAAATACAATACGACTTTGACATTTTCAAATGTAATGTCTGGAGGAAAGTATTGTTTTATATGTACGTACGGGCAGATAAGGTCAATTAAACATGTTTGAAAAAACTATTTGACAATCAGTCTATGTCCTGTGTGATGTTTTCATTGCTGTGTGAGTGTGGCGGCTGTGAACTGTGTGTGCTCTGTCCCCAGCTGGAAAAGGTACTGCAGCAAGGTGATATTGGAGAGTGTGCGGAGCCATACATGGTCTTCAAAGAGTCAGACGCTGCCAAGGTATGATCATTATGAATTTGATTTTGAATTTCACATATAAAGTCTTGAGATTTGTGTCAGGTGGACTATAACAATAGCAATATGTTATTTTGTAAGATATTCATTTATTCTTCTTTATCCACTATTTCAGCCGTAGTTTTAAAACTGCCCCGCATTCCTTGCACTTCAATCAAATTATTGCTGAAATATTGCATTATTAAATACTTTCTGATATTTAGTGAATCTGAACACTTAAATATAGCTTGTTAGGATTTTTTGGAAGTTTTTAAATCACAGATCTAACCAAATTATGTCTTTATTTAGAATAAGGAGAAGCTGGAGAAGCTCCGCAGCCAGTCGGAGCAATTCTGCCAACGTCTCGGCCGCTACCGAATGCCCTTCGCTTGGACCGCCATCCACCTAATGAACATTGTTAATAGTGCCGGCAGTCTGGAGAGAGATACGGAGCTGGAGATGAGCCTCTCAGGTCAGACATTCCCTTTTAACACAACCCTTAGGATTATAGCTGCAAACATATTAGGGTCAGGTCAGTAGCAGTCACAGTGTGTACGTGCAAAAAAGGAGCAACGTTTTGCTTTGCGGTGCTTTAACTCACTCACAGTCTCAGGGTTGTATCAAGTTATCAGGGAACAGAGGCCTAGTGGTCACGCATGAGGTTCATGGACACATCAATACCTTACAACACTTTACAATCTTTATCTAAATATAACTTTCCGTCAACAAATAGTTAATAAAGCAAATTCAAACACAGAGCAAAGCAAAGTATTTAACCGCTTTGATCCTCGGTGCGTCTTTTTGAGTTTGACCCTTTGGTGTTTTTCTGATCTTTGACCTCACAATGTGTCTGTGATGCCAGCTGCCTTTTCTTGCTAGGCAGAAATATGTGCTGTTAATTAAGACAATTGAAGATATAAATGATATCTGTATGTCTGCAGAGAGAAAAGGCTCATGGTCAGAACGAAGAAACTCGAGCATCATGGGAAGGCGCTCCTTGGAGAGGACCACCAGTGGAGATGAGTCATGCAGTCTGACAGGCTTTAGACCTGCAACACTCACCATCACCAACTTCTTCAAACAGGTCTCTGCAACAACACACATGCACGCAAACAAGTCTGAGGGATATGAGGGATGTGCCCTATAAAATATCTCTTTTTTATATATTTTCTATTCTCTGTTTGTGTCAGGAGGGAGACAGACTGAGCGATGAAGACTTGTATAAGTTCCTAGCAGATATGAGAAGACCCTCTTCGGTTCTCAGGAGACTCAGACCCATCACAGGTACAAACTTGTTCTTTATTTTTTTCCTTATGATACTCAACTTTAATTGGCATCACAATTAAACATTTGATGACTTGAACTACCTGTGTTTTTATTTGAATTATCATCCTTCCTACCTTTCTTTACTTCTCACCACAGCCCAGTTGAAGTTGGATATTTCCCCAGCTCCAGAGAACCCCCACTATTGCTTGACCCCTGACCTCCATCAAGTTAAACCTTATCCAGACAGTAGGGTGCGTCCCACCAGGGAGATCCTGGAGTTCCCTGCAAGGGATGTCTACGTGCCAAACACCACTTACAGGTATGGAAAAAAAAATATCCGCAGTATGAGAAAAGAAGTGTTTGTGTCTTACCTTTCAGTATAATCAAATTATTCAATAGTGAATTCGTTTGTTAAGCTTTTCACATTACTTCTCAGTAGGGCTGTCAAAATTGCTCCAAAATAACATTCGAATATTCGCTCTGAGAAACACATAGGTTCGAACCATTCGAATATATATGCGCAATGCGCATTATGTCAATAACAGGAGGACAAACTAATAAAACGAGACATAACTGCTTGTATAGGTATTTTTATTTCAGTTTTAACATTAAAACATACCTACACATTACAAAATAAGTAAATTAACTAACCGTAAAACTTAGACCGTAAAAAAAGACCGCTCCGTCGCTCACCCCCCCCTCTCTCTCTCTCTCTATGCGCGATGAGCATACTGATTTAAATAAACAATTTTTTAATAACGGTCAGTAATAACGGGTCTCTGTGGCTGACATGAGCTGAAGGTAGTGGGACTGTAAGTTGCGAGTTTAGGGGGCACGTCAGCCAGAGCTTTAGTGGGTGTGTATGTGAGTGTGTATGTGAGTGAATGAGTGAGTGAGACTGCTGCCTGCTGAACAGAGGGTCGCAGGGAGAAGGATCTGAACTGCCCGTGTTTCGGCTACAAAACTCCGCCGAACCGATCCGAAACCAGCCCCAAATTTGTATCCACCCGCCTGGAAACCGTGGTCGCGTCTCACTTTCAGCAGTGAGTGACGCTGTGCAAGTGCAACTCCTGTGGCCTCACCTGTCATGCAGTGTGCCCACTCGCAAAGCAGCCACTGATGTGTTTTTTTCCACAGTCGAATATCCGTTTTATTTTAATATTCGAATATATATTCGAATTTAGAATATTCGTTGACAGCCCTACTTCTCAGTAGGTTGCCAAAATCCAAGCTGTTTTAAATGGTTTTATTTTAATGAAACTTTTGAATGAATCTCAATTTTCACAATCACAATTATTTTAATAAATCCCCTTTTATTTAGCTTTCAGTCATGTACATTTGTTAAATCTGTATAAAGGCTAAATGCTAAAGCTAAAGAGTATATGTGTATACTCACACAAGACAAGAACCTCAGCTAATGCGTAAACACATCTATTACTCGTAGAAACCTGCACGCTCAAGGTTTGCACTGTAATGACCTGCACTGTGTCTGCCAGTGTGTAAATATTCCATCTGGACTAGTGCTTTTTTATCAAGGTCGTCTGGAGAGATGTTCATATTACCAGATGAGGCCTTTGACATGGTGTTGCAGTTGCAGGTCTTGTTTGTTTGAATTGGGTGAAAGGATAGCATTTAAATTTTACTCTATTCACAGTCTTTTTAATCATTTTATCATGAACAGAAATGTAAGACTTCCATAAGAAGTAAGGTTTGATATAATTTATATATTACGTATAATATAGTAAAAACCTTTAGTGCAGAAACTTTGTCTCACCCTTCTTACAGTGACAGTAATTACACAAACACTGTACGTGTGTGCATATGTCGTGCATCCTCACAGACGATCGCTTTCTCTTTTAGACTAGCTCCTTTTATTATTTAATCAGCTGGGGTATTGCTACTACCCCATGTGAGCTTTGCATGCTGGTGTTAAGAAATCAGAGTTGGCCCTGTAAATATATTCACTGCCAGCATAAAGGGGGAAAAACCATCCTCCTCCCAATTCCATTTTCTGTACCTTTTACTCGATGCCAACTTCCTTTTCTATCTGGACCATCAGAATCTTTGGACACTTTCTAGGTTTTGCTGCCGTAGGCTGTGTCATGCTTCTAGTTGACATAGCCTAATCTGATTCCATCACATCAGCTCTGGTTAACCAATCATTGGGTTGATTATAAGCACCAGGGCAAGTGTGGGAATGTCACTACAGACACCAAATTAAATCCCTGCTGCGCTGTGAAACACAAACAGATTTATCCGGCACTGATTAACTGAAGTGAACTAATTTGACAAGGGGTTGAATAGAAAGGACTTTGGATGATATGTAAAAGTCATATACTCCAGATTTAAAGTAATAGTCTTCAAGAGGACATGAATCAGAATACTCCTGCCATCTAGATATCAGCAGTCCTGTTTTTATCAACTGTGATATAACTGTGTCATATAATAATATGTATCCAGATTGTACAATATGTAAGCATGTCCATATATAAGTCTGTATAATTTAAATTGAGAAGAAATATATTCACAAGGACATTTAATTTGGCTCAGACAACAAATGCAGTCATGTTGGATATGTGTTTGGTCACATTGATTTTTATTTTGTCAACATGACTTTTAGAGCACATAGCTACTTGTCTGGGTTACATTACATACGTTATGTTAGGATGAGGTACATTTACAGTACAGTTGAAATCATGGAAAGAGTCAATATGACTCAATAACATAGGAAATACATGGAAATGAGTACCAGCATAAATCATATAATAGCATGGACATGGTTTAAATACTTTACACAGTAAAAAAAAAACATAGAACAAACAAAAGGAAAAGTTTTGTAATATGCTGCCAAAGGCTTGGCTCCACTATTTGTATTTGGTAAAGCAAGGTCCTCATTCATTTGTATGGACAATTCTTTTGCTGTACTTTCCTAGAAACCTGAAATTCAGTATATAATTGCATGCATTGGTGTGTACGTCTTCATAACATGCAAGACAGTTTCACATCACAAAGATAAAATGCACTTTTAAATATTTCACAAAACGAAAGATGGCCAGGTCATCTCAGTTTTAGAATTAGATTGTAATGCGTTCCCATAGATTTTTCTCCCACTGCTGTACTGTTACATTTTGCAACCGGCACTAAATCGGGTTGCTGATTATGGATCAATATGTCCATTTTGCAAGTGACTGCAGATGTTGCAAAATGACGATTCTACTCTCCTTGCTGGATCAGACCCAATAGGTTAACGGCCCATGTGGCATTTGTTGCAACAGTGCGACAGTTCAGCATTTTCTGACATTTTTTGGCCTGTTAGTCAGACTGCACCAGTCTGTGTCAGAATGGTATCGGGAAGCAATCAGCTTAATGTTGTATATAAATTAAGAATTTTGTCTTATAGACATGCATGATGCCTGATTTACTTCACTTTCCCTTTCTATGAAACATGTCATTTGCGTGTTACATATATGTTTATGAAAGATGCCAGCCGTGTTGTAGAGAGCAGAAGGTGTGAGTTGTGTGGTTCAGGAGGTTTTTGGAGTTTGGTCTGGTCGCACAGTGATCTTGGTCATCTTGAGGGAATATGAGGGCCCTGTGCCTGGCTTCCAGTGAATGCCCTTCCTCCGTACTGAGCGTCCCTTTGCCCTCAGCCACAAATACCTTCCATTAAGGTTGGTCTCTCCGCAGTCATTGAACCACCAGCCACCTGCCAAAGGGTCCAGAGAACAGGCATAAGTTAAACATTGTGTCATGATCGTGCCTTGAAATTACAGCAATTCATTATATGATTTGGATTATTGCTGCAGTGGGGATTCAGTGGAAGGCTCAGCAGAAGCAGTTTGAGAATCTCTTTACCTGTGTAATTGCGAGTGCAGAAGGAGTTACGGTGGTTAATGTTATTTCTGTCTTTTGTGGAGAATCTCATGCCGGTCATGTTGGCCATGGCGTTAGGCAGGTCACCAGAGAAATGGCTGACATGAATGGTGTAGTCCTTTGAGGCACCATCCAATGAGAACCGGTACTCAGCCCAGTGCTTCTCCTCCTTCCAATCCTCCAAATCAATACGTAGGACGTAAACTCCCTGCTGTGCAAGACTGTGGATCTTCTTCAAGCCCAGCCAGAAGTCCTCTGTGTTAAACATACATATACAGTTTTAACCTTGCATGAACATTTCAGCAGCAGGGACTCTTAAAAAGTTTCTAGTATCAAACAACATTTCCTTATTAAATTATACATTTTTAATTTAATCTCCAGCAGAACTTAAATCATGCATCTTCAATTGAGAAGGAATACATTCTTTACACTTGTATCCCTTGGCCTATGGTTGCATGCTACTGTTAGCTGTAAGGTATAAATGTTGAGGTATAAATGAGCAGCTGCCTGAGCCGGCGAGTACTGCACGAAAAGTTGTCAGTCTCTCAGCTTAGGGCTGATGGGAAACAATTACTGTTTCCTATGACTAGACCTGCAGGAAGCAGTTGCAAATGTCCACACACGTCACAAAAGTCAGGTTCAAATGGTCTCCAGTGCTATCTTTGGTTGCTTTTATTTTGCAATAAAAGTGTAATTATTTGTATCTACATAAGTTCTGCAGCAGAGTATAAGTACTTATTGCATAACCGTGTATATTTTGTTAATACTCCCTTTGAGGACTTATTTGGAGTGTAGCACAAAGTTTAAAAAAAGGCACCCACTTTCTAGATCTCCAAAGCCTCCCTCATATTTCTCCCATGTCTGGTCAAAATCCACTGAACCATCGATCCTGTGCTGGATGACAGTTGAGCCACCATCTGTAGAGTGGATGAGAAGTATATTTCAAGTTGAGGCACAAGTCACGCACACATTTACACAAGGATCAGGGAGCTTATCATAGAACATGTAGGCATAGGTTACAATAGGTTATCCACCCCTGTGTCTGCCCTCCTTGATAACGTGTTCCTGTGGCTGTCTAGCTTGATAACCTTTTGTCTTCTGTTCCTTGCCCAGAGATGGATGTAAATTACAAGTGCTTCATCGTTAAGTAAGTCAGTGGCTTTGAACACAAAATCAGTAATTTTGATGCTTTCGCTGAAACTTCAGATTGCTGTTGTCTCACTCACCTGAACCCATTTCGCAATACACATTGAATGGCTCTGATAGGTTTGGCTTGATAACATAGACTCCACTGCTTGCCTCTCCTTTGTTATACAGCTCACTGCAGTCCACAGGGAGATCTGCAGCACAATACCAAAATTAATACATCAACTTTTTTTATTTCAAGATATTTCATATTTACCCCAACATTTTTAAACAGCCACTAATATAAAATGATCAAATAATTTTACCGTTTGTCTCCAGGCCAGTTGAGTTTTCTGTCAGATATTCAAACATATTCGGAGCTGCGGGATCTGAATCCACTGGCTTATCGACTGTATCTTGAAAACTGTCAAAGCTTAGCTGCAAGGAAATGCAAATGAATGCGCAGTGTTAAATGATGTGGTCAGCCCTTGAAAAAGACCAGAATCATTCCCAATATTCCTAAAACAGAATTTATTCTCACAGATAGCAGATGTTTGGCAAAATGTAGTATAAACCTCCGAAATTGTTTCCTACCTTTTCCTCCAGGTTTTTAATCTTGACTTTCTGGTGGTCAAGTTGATCGTGCTGCTCTTTCACAGCTTCCAGCAGATTGGTGATCGTTCTCTCTTGTGCGTCAATCACATCCTGAAAATGCCACAATGAAAATATAGTTCATCCTCTCTCCCTATACATATGTTGTATTTAAAAAATGTTTTAAACTCCAGTGGTTTTGTTGTTCAATTATACATTAGCAAAATTTGATAGCCCATGTACTGTATTTTGACAACATCTAAGTGTAGTTGGAAACTTAGCGTTTTTTTATTTGCTCACTTATCATTTTCATCCACTAACCCAGGCAAACACAAATACCTTGTAATTGAACAGCACTTAGCCACTTACCTTGAGTGATGTGATTTCACTAAGCTGGTCGGCAGGGACCATGCTCTGTGACAGTCCCTTCAGCCTCTCCTCCAGGCTCCCCACCTTACTCTGCAGCTGCGTGCGCTCGTGCATGATGCCATTGATCTTAGAGTTGATCTCCAGCGACAAGTTCCTGATCTCCTCATTGTTGGCCTTCAAGAAGTTGGTGGTCTTCTTCAGCTCCTCCTCTTCCTCCTTGATCTCTGACGTTACAACAGAGAGCTGGTAGAAAGAGCGGTCAAAAATGTTCAGCTTTTGGAAAATGTCGTTGATCTGGGCCTTGGTCTTGTGGACGAATTCCCGCAAACTCTGGCCCAGCTGAAGAAGGCCGTTTGCAAGTAGTCTAACATCATCCAGCATGGCAAAGCGTGACTTGGCCTCAGTTGGGCTTGGTTCTGTGGTCAAGGCGTGGGGATGCTGCGTGGGTTGCAAGTTGGTTTGCTCTTCTCTACCTGAGGTTTCCAAAGGGACGGCAGTGGTGAAATCAGCAAGCAGCAGAAACAGACAAAACAGCTTCATCATGATTTCGCTGTCCAATCCTTGATGGTGGAATGACAGTAACACTGTTGCACTGCTGTTGGCTTCCTCTTCTTTGAGCTTGTTTCTCTCCCTCTGCTTATAACATAGACGTCCTTGCTGTTAAAACGATGTGAGAGCAGCAGGCTGCTCTGTTTTATATACTACGCCGTCTGTAGAGGAGGGGGGGATTAGCTGATCATTAAACCCTACTATGTTTTAGCTGTTTACCCCACCTCCTCCCAAATCCCCCCGAAGCCCTCCCTCTCCTGAACAAACAAATCACAGCAGTGAGCAAATGACATTTACACCCCCCCCCCGCCTCAACTGTCCATTTAACCCCAATCCCCTCTCCATACCACACCCTGCCCCACACTGTTCTCCATCTATAGTGCAGAGCTTTAGCTGATCAGCAGAATGCCAACAATGGCCATCACTGGTTTTTGATGGATCGTCAGCCTGATCAATCTCAAACCTTATAACCTTGCACACACTTTGCTCTGATTGATAAGGCGGTGTGTAATTAATGCTCTTGGGTTTGATTTAGCATCCTGCTGAATCAGCCTAGCACCGAGCTCTCCTTCTTCTTCGCTCTTTGTGTGGGGAGGGTAGTGGGCCTGACATCCGTGCCAGGGTTGAGCTTCTAGCCATGAATGATGTGATAGAGGTTGGACAGTGTGTACTCATCATCGTGATTTTATTGCTCAGCCTTATCTGGGTTTTTTCAGGTTTGTCATTCCTTGTGTAATATTTTAATGCCACCAGACACCAGAAATCGAGAGTACACACCCACCGAGCTCTTTATACTAACACTGGTGAGGGCTTCCCTGTGCTTGCAAATCAGCCTCAGTTCTTCATGGCGTCAATTCTTTAGGGTGTTACTTTGAGCTTTTAGTCCATCAACAATTTTTGCAGCACATTCATTTTGCAAATCTCACATTCTAACACTTCTTAAACTTTGTCTGTTCTAGTTGGGTCGATTTCCATTTTGGCCAGTGCAGTCCAGTGAAGGAGCTCAAACCAGATCGATTACATGCAAACTGGCCAAACTGACATTTGTCATTATAACTGCGTTCAGAACTGTGCTGAGCTTCAGATATTGTCCTGAAATTATCCAAGGGGGCTGGATGTGAGATCCCAAATGGTTGAAATCACCTGCATCATGTTTTTACCATTCTGATCTTGGAAGTGAACTTTAACTGAAGCTCCAGACCTGTATCTGCACAATGTTATGCCTTGCACTGCTGCCACACGATTGGCTGACTGAATGATTGCATGAATAAGAGGGTGTGCAGGTGTTCTTCATGACGTGCTCGCAGCTTTTATAGGATCATTCTTGTACTATTTTTATGGGGAATGTTTAGTAAGAGGTTTTAAGCAACTTGCAGTGTTGGTGAAATGTGTTCACCATTAGCCAGAGAGGGGGGAGGAACTAATTACTGAAATTACTTGATGTAAAATTTAATAGGAATATAAATATTTATACTTTTGGCAGTTCTTACTGCTTGGTTTCCAACTAAAATAAACATGTCCATATGTGATGTAAAAAAGTATGACCACACAGACTGCACTCTTTCAAAATGGGTTTGGTTCATACATGAATGTGTATGTTGAAAGGGTCCTGTTAGCATCTTCAATGGAGTTTTTTTCTATTTATTATTGATGTTAAAGTAAAGCACTAATCAGGCACTTTGTATAGCAAATACAAATATTAAATTATCACTTTTACATTATGACAAATAGCAGAAATTACTGGGATATTTGCCCCATTGCCTCAAGCGTTGGTTTGAAATGGAAACATTTGGCTGTTACAGTGCACTCTGAAATACCACGGTCATCTTAATGAGCTCTTTTTAGTCATTTGTGGTTATAAGGATGGATTACCTCAATTCTCAGTAATTAAGGGAGTGCTATGGTTTTCATATGAACAGAGCAGAAAGAAAAGGTCCTTTGGAAAAAAAAATTGGCTGTATACTGAGTGAATGTGCAGAATTTCTGTATCAGCATAATGCAGATAATGATATTCAGTATCCTTCATTCCAGCACAGCGTTCAGTGCTGAGGATTGGAAGTGAGGGTGTTAAAGGTTTGAACCTCACCTGGCCTTCTCAGGTCTCTGTGGCACTGTCATATTCTGCTCATGTTTGTAGTCAAGTTTGGCAATTTAATAATTTATTACAAAATACTGATTTGGGATTACATTGTGCAAAATGTGCAAAATATGTAAAAACAAGAAAAAAAAATGTGTGTAGGAGGGGAGAGATTTAAGTCAGTGATGCTAGGACAGCAACAAGTGACACTTTCAACAGTACAACTGAATGTGTAGTCTGTGCAATTATTGCTTCAACATGCTAATTCATTTCACCTGTTTGACATCAAGATCGCATGTTTTTTGTAGTAATCTTGAATTGGGAGAAAGTTATGTGCACTGCAGCACAAAATCATCGGAGTATTTAAAGTTCAAGTCCACCCACTTCTATAGCAGCCATCCAAACTGTTAGTACAAACTAAATGACTGGTAACAGAAAGAGAAATTCCAATCATCAGACAAGAGCGATTCCCACGCTTCCTTGTCAGTTGTGGTTCCAGCTGTGGTCTCTGTGGGGCCGACCCCACTGACTCCGTTACGTCATTGTGGTTTGCCAGCTGATCCCAGGTTAGATTGCACTTCCAGTTCTGGGGCCGCCTCCTCCTTCCCAGCAGTGAAGTAATAGTTATTTTTCTTAACATTACATCTGCTGGCAAAACAACTGCAATGAAAAAGACTGTTAAATACAACAAATTCATATTTTTTAACCCTCAAGTTGGATGGCGAGAGTTCGCTGTGATGCAGTGTAAATCGTTATTTTCCCCCCCAAAAAAGTTCATATGGGAATGACAAAAAAGTTTTCCATCATGTTACAGACTTTGGACTGTATTGAGGTCGTTACTTCTCTTTATTCCTCTGAAATGATCAGTTTATCAGGCAAAATAACATTCATCCCTCGTCCCATCCTCCAGCCTGTGGTCAAAACTGGTTTATGTTGCATCATTTATGTTTATTGACAGCCCACGTTTCCTGTATTCACATTGTGGTTTACCTTGCAGCTTAAATGAATCAGTTCATATCATCGAAATAAAGCCATCTTAAAATGATAGTATCAATTACTTAAAAAATATGTCTATAGTTCTATAAATGTTTGCGTATCCTTGTTGGAGTTGATATCATTTATGATGTGCCTTCTTCGCTGTGTTTGTGTTTTTCAGGAATCTGCTTTATGTGAACCCTCAAAGTCTTAACTTCGCCAACCGCCAAGGCTCCGCCCGCAACATTACAGTGAAAGTGCAATTTATGAACGGAGAGGATCCTAACAATGCAATGCCGGTACGTCACCACAGGGCTGTAACATAAACAGTTACCACTTATCAATTAGTCTTAGTGTCGTCAGCCATACCACAAGTGTTCTGACTGAGCTGAGTGTGTTACCGTTTTTATGTTTGTTTTACACTGATTAATGTAGAGCACTAAAACTGCACTGCCTTATTCTACAGCTGTGTGAATGTTAACAAATATACATCTTCAGAGACAGTCATTCATTCAATAGAGCTCAAGTGTCCCTGAACATCAGTATTGTTTTTATTATCCCCCAGGTGATATTTGGGAAGTCCAGTTGTTCAGATTTCTCGAAAGAGGCCTACACTGCTGTGGTGTACCATAACAGGTAGGTCAATTGTCTTTTGGCACGTGGCGGCCTGTGTAGTTTGTAGTGTGTCCGTGTGTTGTAGTTGTTTCTGTACAATACTTATGTGAGCATGCTGAAATAAAACTTCAAACAAGACGTACAACTGATAACTGTACAATGTCCCGGTCAGAAGTGATGTCAGTACACTTATCTGTTGGAAACACTATGGATACCCACCGCCTCTGCAGCTTGTAAGATATTGTGGCGTTTTGAGGGTTGTTCTCTCCTTGGCTACTTCACCTTACCTTTAATTATGTGGAAGTCTAATTCTGGGATTCCGGTATTCCATCACATCTGTCGTACTTGACATAGGTCTTAAATTTAATTCATTATCGTCTTAATAGGGTCTTAAAAGTCTTGAATTTAACTTGTGTAAAACTTGTTCTGGAAAAGTAGGTGAAATTAGATTAATCCAAAGATCCAAAAATCTCCATATCAAAAACATACGTCTTTTTTTCTTTGTCTTTTTAATGTCTACCATTATGTAGTTACCACAATATGATTTATTTAACGGCTTACCTTGGCAGTGCTATGTTACCTGTAGATGTTGAAAAGCCAAAATGCTCTGTCTCGTATGGACGATCGTAATTAAACTCATAGATGTTCCCTTTTAAATCAACTTTATTGTGACATCTTCTCCTATACCTCCACTACCCTACATTTTGATGGCTTTCATTAAAGAAAGAGTTGAGTCAACCTTCTGGTTATTGTCATATGGTGTCCTTGAGTTTTGTTCGTCTGTACATAAGAGTTGAGGGGTCTCTAATATTTTATCACCACTATTAGGTGTTTTTTACGACACCCAGTGGTTTGTCATTTGACACCCAAGGGTCAAACCTTCAAGGCCAAAGTTAATCAACCTGTGAATAATGTACCACCGTGACTAGGTAGATCATGCATGAGGACCTCTATAAGTTAATGGTCAATTATAGTCTATATTTTGCACAGAAATGGCACAATATTTCTTTTATCAGGTCCTTAAAGGTAAGTGAGAGAAAAATGAATGACAAGGCTCTCTATAAATGGAATTGTTTTGTAAATCTGGAAAGCTTCCATGTTTCATGCTTTTAGCTTGAATGTACTGTGCCCTGCTAATAAACCATGATCTTTTCCGGTTACGTTGTTTGTTTTGGAGGATTTTTCCCGTCCAAAATGTTTGTTCCCATGAGAAATAGGAACCTTTCTCTGACCCTCATTAAACAGCTTTGGTCACTTACATCCTGGTGGGTTTGTTAATGGGACTGCTGTAGTTGTGGGTTGTTTGTGTCTTCATGTAAGAGTTTATAGAAGTCAGCTGAAGTGAATTATGTAATATTTCTTTTTGGGTCACTTGACTTCCTCAATGAACACTTTCTCTTTTTTTAAATAAATATTCCCAAGTCCTTATCGTGTGCACATGTGCAAAATATGTTTGCATATTTGAGGCCACATTAGACTGAACCATATGACGTAACCTGTCCGCTTAATTAATCTATTTAGTGTGGTTGTCGCTCTCAATCTTTTAATTTAATGAATAACAAGCTGCTTGTAAGACGTTTTTTAGTCCTGAATTTGTGTCACTATTTGCTTTCATTAGATCACCTGACTTCCATGATGAGATCAAGATCAAGTTGCCTGCCTCCCTGTCAGACCACCACCACATTCTCTTCACCTTTTACCATGTCAGCTGCCAGCAGAAGCAGAACACACCTCTGGAGACCCCTGTGGGATACACGGTGGGTAACAGTCACCAGTGCAGCTACTTAATTTGGCTCTCACTGTTGCTCCAGCCTGCTTAAGCATTAATTTAGATAATCCAACAACACAGCATATCTATTTAAAGCCTTAAAACACTGTGATAAATGTAATATGTTATATAAAAAATGTTTTGTTGTCTATATTTAATTCCTATAATTCTTTTTTCCTCCTGTCTCTCTAGTGGATCCCTATGTTGCAGAACGGACGTCTGCGGACAGGACACTTCTGTCTTCCTGTGTCTCTGGAAAAACCACCACAATCCTACTCGGTTCTCTCCCCAGATGTGAGACACAATTTTTTTATGCAAATATTTAAAATGCATGAAATTATTAATTAAATCAGGAATTTAATATTAAAAAAGGGCAGTTATGATGATTTCTTTTATGGATTATTGTTCTTCAGGTTCCTCTCCCAGGGATGAAGTGGGTGGATAACCATCGAGGAGTTTTCAATGTGGAAGTGGTGTCTGTTTCAGCCATACACACACAGGTAACTGTGCTCTATTCATGTATTTCATTAAATTACACAACACAAACATAACCATTTTAAATTCCTTTTAAAGTAAAGAGAAACAACCACACAGTGCTCCCACATTTAGAACGGAATTCCCTTCCCAGCACCAGTTCATTACGGGGTGCGGTTCACCTAACCACGCTTTTACTGAGGTCTACTCCATCTCTGTGTCGGCTGTGGTGTGGAGGGCTGGACCTTGGTCCACAGGAGCCTAACTGGGACTAATGTGCTCATAAATCACTGCCCCTGGTTTAGATTAGACTCGCTTGGTTCCTTTTTTCTTGTAGTTATGTTCGCTTTGCGGTTTCCGCTCGGTGAGCCAACTTGCCGGCTCACAGTTACAGATGATTAGATCCAAGCTTACTTTTGTTTGTTGACTGCCTTCCCTCCCTTTTTTCATCTTTCTCTAACTTCAAACATGTACCATCCCTCCTTTTCTGTATCCCATTTCTGCATTGCATTTATTTTACTAAAATATTTTCCACTCTCTGTTCTCTCTAATGCCTCTCTCTTTTTTCTCACTCTAGGACCAGTACCTGGATAAGTTCTTTGCCTTGGTTCATGCCTTGGATGAGCACATGTTCCCAGTCAGGATAGGAGACATGCGCATCATGGAGAACAACCTGGAGGCCGAGCTCAAGTCCAGCATTGCGGCTCTAAACTCTTCCCAGCTGGAGCCGGTGGTTCGATTCCTTCACCTCCTACTCGACAAGTTGGTTTTGCTTGTAGTGCGGCCGCCGGTCATCGCGGGACAGATAGGTATGCTACTGTAAATCATTTCACCCTTCGGAAAAATGTTGATTCTAAATGACATAGAGATGATTGTTAGTGTTCCAAAAATATTCACAAGCTCTCAGACGTAGAAGTGATCACATATTCATGCTAAGAAAACCCTTTTTGAATGTTTTTGGTCTATGTGGGTCATCCTGTGCAACACGCATGTTAACTTTATGTGCAACAACTCTGCTCTTTGTCCATGTCTGCATTTGTGTTTGTCAATTTGCCTCTGTCTCAACCCCTGTGTGTATGTGGGCGTGCGTGTTTAGTGAATCTGGGCCAGGCATCCTTCGAGGTCATGGCATCCATAGTGAACCGGCTTCATAAGTACCTGGACACCAGCCAGGACATGCATGGCCGCAACAGCCTGCTGTCCTCTTACATCCACTATGTCTTCCGCTTGCCGAGCACTGACCCCAACTCTCCATCGCCAGGTAATCCATATAATTAAACCTCCTCATGATTTTATTTTTTATTTATTTACATCTGTTCTTCAGTTTTCTCCACTAAGTTGACCTCATCCAACCACCAAATCACCCTCAGCGGGTGTCCGTGATCAAACCTACCTGCCATAATTTTTCTTTTCCTATTTCTTTTTATCTTTTCCTTTTTTTCCCTCCCACATCCATTTTGTCTTCCACCCAACACAGACACCAACTCATCCTCAACAGGTAGATATGGTCCACTGCTGTACATTTCTAATCTATGTGCATTCCTTCTTCCATTATAGTTAAAGAACGTTAAGTCTCATGGACACAATTTCCTAAAGACCCTGTATTAGATCAAACTATCCACTGGCAAGACGTTCATTGTTTTACACAACTCCATATAACTAAATTAAAATTAAATGTGCTTTTTCTTCAATAACATATTCAAAATATGTTATTCATATCACCAAATGCAGGGCGAAGGGTTGGGAACTATAGCAGATTGTTAAAGGGGAATTTCAGTATTTTTCATCCCAGGCCCTATGTTTATAAATGTGGCTGTCAAAATGAATGACACTTACAAGAACTTTTGGAATCTCTCCATCAGATCGTTTCACCAATAAATGTCTCAGATTTTTCTCTGGGTCTGTGCTTAGAGTTAGGCAACTTGGGTTGTTGCAAGAAGACAGAGGTGGAAAACGAAAGTGAGATTAAGAGGAAGTTGCACTGAGGAGTTTGGATTTTAGTATTAACATAACTATTATGGCTGAATCCTTGATGCGAATGAATATATACAAAGCTACAAAGCACTGGGAACTCACATTATGTTGATGTTGACAGACTTTTAGCAAAAGATCCAGAATAACAAAGCACTTGCAGTGGATGTTTTATGTCACAGTTGCCTCTTAAGATTTCATTGGACCCTCTGTAGTAGTGTCAAGGCAATCTACTGGACCAAGTTTATTTTAAGTATCAATCATTTACACACCCACATTTCACAAGTTGAAATATACTGGAATTCCCCTTTAAAGGTACAGTGTGTAGAATTTTGTGATATCTAGTGTTGAAGTTGCATGTTGCAGCTGAACACCCCTCACCTCACCCTCTCCTTCCAAACATGAAAAAAGAACCTGTGGTAGCCTTTAATTGTCATAAAAACTCAAAAAGTGTTTAGTTTGTCCAGTCTGGACTAAAACATGGCGGCCTCCTTAGAGAGGATCCCCTCGATGTAAATATAAAGTATTTCAATATAAAGGACATTTTCTTGGGTAAAGAAAACTACATTTAATACAATTTAGATGAAATGAACTAGTGAAAACATCATGAGGATTATTCTACATAAAATATCTGCCAATAGTTCCCTTTCACCTGAATCTTACACACTGGACCTTTAAGAGTGGGCCTTGAGTATATTATAGTAAGAGCATTTTCAGCAAAGCAGAGTTAAAATGCGCCTTCATGTTGTCGGTCCTTTAATTGCTTGGTAGTAGTAATGTGCATCTCATCCCACTTGTCCTATTTTCCTTTCACTGTGTGTTGTCCCAGGCCCAGGAGGGTTGGGAGGTTCGGTTCACTATGCCACCATGGCTCGCTCGGCTGTTCGACCTGCCAGCCTCAACCTCAACCGCTCCCGTAGCCTCAGCAACAGCAACCCTGACATTTCCGGTACACCCACCTCTCCTGACGACGAGGTCCGCTCCATCATCGGCAGCAAGGTAAGGTCATCAATCTGTGTCTGCGGTTATACTTGAGCCTGCAGCATCTTTTATCTCAGGTCAGTCAATTTTCTGTTAAAGGATAAAAGAGACACTCAACATTATACATGTGATCTGAACGTGGATAGGACCAGCAGTTACAGATATGATATGATGACTTTTAGCACACTGCACGTGGATGTTAGATATCAGGGTTACACATTTTAACATTTTAGCAGCTCTCATTGATTTGTGAAAGATTTTGACAGACTCTTGTAAGATGATTACACTGCAGTGACCTAGGGGCCCATTTTTATCAACTTGTAAACTGTATAGCCAATGCGTAAACATAAGCCCTGGACATCTTATCTCTCTAACCGCTGTAACAGCATGTACACACAATCCTCAGTGTGTGCAGGTTGTGAAAGGCAAACAAGACAAAACTATGTCATCAGTTAAACAGATGTTCTTTGAAGATACAGCAACATATTGTTTAAACAGTCATAGATCTTTTTTAAAGACATCAATAAAAGTGTAGGTTTCTTTCTTTGGTCCTTTTTATTTGAAGTTATTGATCTGTTGTGATGCATTTCCTCTGCTATGATTTGTAATTTCCTCAAGCATTTTGATTTAAATTAACAGCAGAATGATGTAATGTTCCTTTCCAATGGTCTTGCTGTACTTTTAACCACAATGTGTTGGATGCAGCCCCCTGTTTGATGAACGTGCCCTTTGCTGCTAATGCTTAACTAAACCTTTCTTCTCTTGTCTCTGAGGGGGGGGGGGGTTACTTCTAACACAGGGAGAGAAAGGGAGAGAGAGAGAGAGAGAGAGAACCTGGGCTTTGCTCTTCTGTGGTGATGATTTGGGCTGACAGCTAACCTTTTTTTGGCCCTTTGCATCTTCCAGCAGTACTGACCTCAGAACCTTTGTAACGTGTCATTATGCCTTCCCTCCTCCTTCCCCCGTGCTGCTCGCTTATTCCCTTGCCTCCTGCCTGCCCTGTGTCCTTTGACCTTGGCACCCCTAGGGCTTAGACCGCTCCAACTCGTGGGTGCACACCATGGGCTGTAAGAGTGCTCCCTGGGGATCCAGCCCTGGGTCCAATCCAGAAACCATGCAGGTGGTTTAATGAATGCCCCGTCCTCCACTTTGCCTCACTACAAAAAAAAGAACTCACCCAATTCACCTTGAAGGGATACTGGGATATTTGGAGTTTTGGTTTATTCGTGTACTTTCTTAGAGTTATTGATAAGAAAGCGATTGGATCTTGGGAGAAATCTGTGGGGAGGAGATCTTGTTTGTTTTAATCTGTTTCTTAACATATTGTCTTAATGTTTCCCGTCACGTGACTATCCTCATTTTATTGCAAGTACTGCATCACTTACAACATGGACAGTGTAGGGCTAGGACAAAAAAAAAGACCAAAACCTCAAAATATTTCAGTATTCTGGTATAATAACAATCACAACTCTCCCATGATCCCACACATGGGAGTCACAGCCGCCTCCATGACCCACTGCCTGACATGCTAGAGTCTCAGGCATCATCCTACTTTACTAATCATCCCTAACACCTCTCTTTTTCTCATTACCTGCAGAAAAACACATATTCCAAAATCCAGATTTTGCAATGCCAGATTTGAATTGGAAAACTAATTTCTAGGACATTGTTGGCCTCCCTTTCTTTTCATGTCAAGTTAACCTGCTGTTCTGGGTCTACTCAGCTCAGTTGTTGCTAAAAACCTTAAACTAAGACAGAGTTTTATGCATAGAGGATGTTGGTAGAGAAAAAGAGTAGCGTTGGAAATCCTCTTCGCCAGCAGAATACATTCTTTTTCTGCATTCATTTTATTTCCTTTTCTCATTTTTACTCTTCACTCTCACTGCTTTAACCCCACAGTCCCCCACTCTCACTTAGCATCCCTGCATGGCATTCTACTAACTCTACATAGCATTCACTCTGTCGCTGCAGCATGGTGTATCTGTGAGTGTGAATGTGTGTCTACATGCGAGGTCATTGTCTGCTTCACTAGTCATCTACATGATGTTACGTCCTCTGTCACTTTTAAGTTGTCATGACATAAGCCTTTTGTTATTAACTATCTTACACATGCAAGATTATGTATATTAAGGATTAAAGATAGTTCATTCTTATTCTTTTTATGTAATCATAAAATCCCCACTTTTAATTAAACATGCTTACATCGACAGCTCACATTATTGGAATTTATCTTTCCATTGAACATTATGCTCATTTATTTACCAATATTATCACTTTTGATACTGTCGATTGTTTTTTTTATGTTTCTGAAGTAATGTATTCACCTTGAGGGATGCAGAATGGCACACCTTTAAGCAATGTTTGTTGCATCAAGAAAAATGTATCATTCCCATATGATCTTATGACTTTCTGCAGCAATTGTGCATCCCTCATTTAAGAATTTAAAACATACAGATGTGTCTGACTGTTATAGATTATGGATCTATACACCTGAGTGTTATAGCCCTGTCCTGTGTCTTACTGTTTTGTGTCTTCATGTGTGACAGGTGTGTGTGTGTGTGTGTGTGT